CGCCACATCATCCCATCGCTTGCTCTGTTGGCTTTCGTGGGATGCTCGCTGGCAGCACTTGGCACCAACAGTGTGCAGGTGAGCTGCGTGTGTGCGGGGTTGTGTTGTCGTTTCATTATTATTGTTACGCAGCTATTTATATTCAGTAGAAGTCGAGTGTCTGCCTCGTGTCAGGCTTTGGAGCCAGGGGGGTAAAGAGAGGGAGAGATGGAGAGAGAGAGGGAGAGATGGACAGAGAAAAAAAAGAGAGAGAGGGAGAGAGAGAGGGAGAGAGAGTACTTGCTCCGGCAGTACTTATACTGGAACGACACAGAGAAGATTAGCATTGCCCCTGCGAAAGGATGACACGCAAATTCGTGAAACGTTCCATATTTTTCGCCCCTGCACCGGCCTGGAGCGTCACGGCCCCCTTCCTCCTGAAACAGCTGGGGGGTCTGCAGTGCTCCAAACAACTATTCTACATGGACCTGCAGGGCCTCCCACTGGGACAGCTGCCACCCTTCTACAGAAGCGTCCTGCAGATATGGAGCTCCCTCGCCGTCAGGAAGCTGAACAAGCCTCGATCGGCCAAGGATCTGGTCTTCGAACCGATCCTCAGGAACCCACAAAGCTGCCATCCACCACCGCCACCCCAGGCATGGAGAGGCGCCTCGCCAACGCGCGGTTCACCAGGATGGGAGTTCTTTTGGAGCCTGAAACACGGGGCCGGTGGCTCGGACCAGCAGACGTGGCCGCAAAGACAGGGGGGCTGCAGTCGCTCCGGGTGGCTGCCCGGATCCTGGCCGAAGCCAAGGGGGCCTTCTCAGCGGCAGCGGGGAGAACGCCCCCCATCGGCATGGGGATGACGAGGCCCCTCTCGGTCCCCCTCCACCGAAGCTCTCAGTCGTGCCACTGCATCGCCAATGCCGACAAACGAAGGCGGATCACAACCTGTGCCGGCTGGAAGACCTGCCGGAGGTGGCGTTCGCAAATGTAAATAGGAAGGTGCTCTACTCCTACATGGTCCGGTTTCACCAACAGGACACCCTGAGGAGCCACAAGGACCATGCCTGGAGGAAAGCTCTGTCCTGCATCTCTCCGGAGAGGCCTCGCTGGAGGCAACTCTACTCCTGCCCGACATACAACCGCATCGGCGACCTCAGCTGGAGCATCGCCCACAGCACCGTCACCACCAATGCCTCTCTGGCGCGCTTCACCGACACGTCCCCGGAGTGCCGGTTCTGCGGTAAAGTGGAGACGGTGGCGCACCAATACGTGGAGTGCAAGAGCCTGGACTCGCTGTTCAAGGACCTGAGAAACATCCTCCTAAGGTTCAGCCTCCACTTCTCCCCGACGGTCCTCATCTTTGGATACCCGAAGGGCGACGGATCCCAACATCTTCAGGGGCTGGTCAACGTGCTCGTCGGCTACGCCAAGCTCGCCATATACAGGGCGAGGAAGGTGGCCCTGGAGGGGCAATGTCCAGCCAGCAGCCTGGGCATCATCCGCGCTCTGGCCGGAGCCAGGGCGTGGCTGGAGTTCTGCCATGCGTGGCTGACCCACGCCGTGTCGGCCTTCAAAGAGCAGTGGGCGCTGGAGGAGGCCGTGTGCTCGGTGGCAGATGACGGAGAGCTGTGCATGCAGATCTAAGCTACCCGTCGGAGGCCGTTTGACTGTGGGAAGGGCTGCGTGCAGATGCAGCACTTGTCTTAGTTATAAAAAAGAGAGAGCGAGAGAGAGCGAAATGGAGTAGGAAGAGAGGGGGCAGAGAGAGAGGGGGGCAGAGAGGGGGGTAGAGAGAGAGGAGGGGCAGAGAGGGGGTAGAGAGAGAGAGAGGGAAGGGGTAAGGAGAGCAGAAAAAAGGAAAAATATTTTGTTGGTTCTTTCATTTAAAAGGGGGGGGGGGGGGGGGGGGGGTTACATAAAGCAAAGCATAAAAAAAATGAAATGATGAACGGAGCAAAGTGCCGACTACACCGAGCATCTTCTTGTTTCCTCTGATCGTAAAAAATAAAAAGAGAGAGAGGGAGAGATGGAGAGGAGAGAGAGGGAGAGATGGAGAGAGAGGCAGGAGAGAAAGAGAGAGGCAGGAGAGAGAGGCAGGAGAGAGAGAGAGAGGAAGAGATGGAGAGAGAGGCAGGAAAGAGCCAGAATCTTAACACAAGAGGAGCGGTCACAATGTTGGAGATCACCTGCAACGATCGGCTGGGAAAGAAAGTGCGGGTGAAGTGCAATCCCAGCGACACAATCGGGGATTTAAAAATAGCTTATTGCAGCACAGACTGGATCAAAATGGGACAGAATTGTCCTGAAGAAATGGTACACCATATTTAAAGACCACGTTACGCTGGAGGACTATGAGATCCACGTCGGACAAAATCTGGAGCTGTACTACCAATGAAGCACATGCAGGCATGGCGTCACCAATTCCATAATTGGAATGTTCCGCAAGACATCGTTGCACATCAGTCAGTTTTAATTAAATTTATTATTTGCATGGGGAATCTGTAATGCATTCTTGATTCTTTGACACTCATTAACATTGTATCTCCGTAATAGGAATGGCTTTTGTTACATTCATTCCATTATCAAGTTTTTTTCTAATAAAAATGCAAGTTGACTTGTCGAACCAACGTCTTACAATCCTAGTGTAAATTAAAAGTGCTATGATACTATACAAAAAAAAGAAGAAGAAAAGAGAGAGTGAGCGATGGAGGGAGAGAGGCAGGAGAGAGAGGGAGCGATGGAGGGAGAGAGAGAGACGAGGGAGAGAGATATCATGATAGGGTGAGAGATTGGGGAGAGGGAGATATGGCGGGGGAGATGTAAAGTGAAGGACAAATAAAGGAGAAACGGAGGGAGGGAGGGAAATCGATGATGTAGGAGGAGAGATGAGAGAGAGAGAGAGTGGACTGTGGCGAGAGGGGATGGAGGGGGGGGGGATTCGCTAGAGAGATGAGACGCGTGGATACAAAGAGCGAGAGAGACAAAGACGGACGCTGTTAGGATTCCACAGAGAAGCGGAGCTCAGCGCAACGCTCGGAGCGACAGCCCCTTGCCTGCGTGGGACGGTGGGGAGGTGGTGGGGGCGCGGCGGAGGGGGGCTAGGAGGAAGCGCCCAGTGGGTGGCTTATCGAGTGCGCAGGCGGTGCCACTGCGCACGGCTCACGGGCACAGCGGAGGGGGCTACGAAAAGGGGCGCGGGGGGGGGGATGGAGGGTGGGGAAGGTGAATTAGATAGCGCCCCCCCCCCACCAATGTAACATCTTACACCGGAGCCCCAACACACCACCACCACCCACACCAGAGCCCCTACACACCACCACCACCCACACAGGCACCCCTACACACCACCACCCACACCGCAGCCCCTGCACACCACCACCCACACCGCAGCCCCTACACACCACCACCACCACCACCCACACCGGTGCCCCTACACACCACCACCCACACCGCAGCCCCTGCACACCACCACCCACACCGCAGCCCCTACACACCACCACCACCACCCACACCGGTGCCCCTACACACCACCACCCACACCGCAGCCCCTACACACTACCACCACCCACACCGCAGCCCCTACACACCACCACCACCACCCACACCGCAGCCCCTACACACTACCACCACCACCCACACCGCAGCCCCTACACACACCACCACCACCCACACCCTCAGCCCTGCACAGCGCGAGTTGTGATGAAACCCTCCCTCCCGAGCGTGTGGCGGCGAGGCTGGGTGATGGTGCTGTCGATGTCCGCCCGAACACCGGAGCGGGACCCTGGGCGTGATGAGCGATGTCGTCGCCACTCAATCATCCCGACCACAAAACTCATTCCCCACTCACGAGTCACTCCTCAGCAGGGGGGGGTCCGATCAGAGGGCGCTGGGTGCGGCCCGCTCAGGGCTGTTACATTCACACACGTGGTGTGTTGTGGTGTGTTGTGTGTTGTGGTGTGTTGTGTCGTGGTGTGTCGTGTGTCGTGGTGTGTTGTGGTGTGTCGTCGTGTGTTGTGGTGTGTTGTGATGTGTCGTGTGTCGTGGTGTGTCGTGGTGTGTCGTGTGTTGTGGTGTGTCGTGTGTTGTGGTGTGGTGTGTCGTGTGTTGTGGTGTGTTGTGGTGTGTCGTGTGTTGTGGTGTGTTGTGTTGTTTCGTGTACCATCACACGTGGTGTGTTGTGGTTAGGCGTGTACCATCACGTGGTGTGTTGTGGCTAGGCGTGTACCATCACACGTGGTGTGTTGTGGTTAGGCATGTACCATCACGTGGTATGTTGTGGCTAGGCGTGTACCATCACACGTGGTGTGTTGTGGTTAGGCGTGTACCATCACGTGGTGTGTTGTGGCTAGGCGTGTACCATCACGTGGTGTGTTGTGGCTAGGCGTGTACCATCACACGTGGTGTGTTGTGGTTAGGCGTGTACCATCACGTGGTGTGTTGTGGCTAGGCGTGTACCATCACACGTGGTGTGTTGTGGTTAGGCGTGTACCATCACGTGGTGTGTTGTGGTTAAGCGTGTACCATCACGTGGTGTGTTGTGGCTAGGCGTGTACCATCACGTGGTGTGTTGTGGTTAAGCGTGTACCATCACGTGGTGTGTTGTGGCTAGGCGTGTACGCGTGCGTTCGGCGTAGCGGCGATCCGTGAGAGAGGGGGGAGGGGGGATGAATGAACAGCGAGAGAAAGGGAAGGGAGGCAACGGGCAGGGAGAGCGCGGGTGGAGGAATGGAATGAGGGAAATCGCGAGGGATGGGGAGATGGGATGCGGCAGAGAGTGGGGAGGGGCTGGGGAGAGGGAGGAGGAGGAGATGAGGAGGAGATGAGGAGGAGGAGGAAGGAGGAGAGATGGAGGAGGGAGTGAAGGAAACAAGCACGCTCGGGAAAGATGGAGGGAGGCGGTGCGGGTTGGGGTGATGGTGGCGGGGCGGTTACGGGGAGTGACGGCTGGAGGTGATGCGTGAGACTGAGAGGGATGGAGGAAAGAGAGGAGGGCGAGAGGGAGGCAATGGGGGAGGGCGAGAGGGAGGGATGGGGGGAGGGGCCGGGTATCCGCTCTGTTACGTCTGGCACGCGGCCTCGTGCGTCGGCACTTGTGCGGAAACCGTCCTCGTTCGTGGTGAGAGCACGCGTGCCTTCACAGCAGACACACACACAGCGACACACACACAGCGACACACACACACCGACCCAGACACACGCACAGCGACACACACACAGCGACACACACACACAGCGACACACACACAGCGACACACACACACAGCGACACACACACATAGCGAAACACACACACAGCGACACACACACATAGCGAAACACACACAGCGACACACACACACACCGAGACCCAGACACACGCACAGCAGCCACTGAGACCCAGACACACAGCAGACACCGAGACCCAAAGACACACAGAGCAGACACTGACAGACACACACAGCAGACACCGAGACCCAAAGACACACAGAGCAGACACCGACAGACACACACCGAGACCCAGAGACACACACACACAGCAGACACCGAGACTCAGAGACACACAGACACAGCAGACACGCGTCGAGACTTTGACACGTAGACACAAGGAGACACTGACACACAGTACAGACTACACGGATCCCTCTCCTGTCCTCTCTGCGTCCCAGTTTTAGGGAAACAACAGTCACGTACACACGTGCGTGCAGTGTGAGCTTAGATAAAGACTGCTTTACATCCGTGTAGCCTTCAGCAGACTGTTGGGGCGGGAGGGCAAGTGTTGCTAGTGAACACGCATTGCACACACTCAGACACACACACACGTACTCAGACACACACACACACGTACTCAGACACACACACACGTACTCAGACACACACACACGTACTCAGACACACACACACAGACAGACACACACAGACAGACACACACACGTACTCAGACACACACACACGTACTCTTGACACACACAGACAGACACACACACAGACAGACACACACTCACAGACAGACACACTCGCGCACGTGTGTGACACGCGCTCGCCGGCACACGTGCAGGAAGTCCAGCGCTGCTGCATCTGCCCGGCTGACTTGGCGACTGGCGAGCATGTCTTGGGGTTACGGAAAGGATAATGGTGAGTGAGACTCTGTGTGTGTGTGTAAGATTCTGTGTGTGTATGAGACTGTATGTGTATAAGACTCTGTATGTATGTGTGTACAAAGACTCTGTATGTGTGTGTGAGACTGTGTGTATGAGAATGTGTGTGTGAGACTGTGTGTGCATGAACACACCTTCAGCCGCATGAGTTGGGGGAGCGGTAGTGTAGCGGTTAGCGCGCTGCGCTATGAACCCGGCGACACGGGTTCGATTCCCGCTCACGGCCAACACCAGTGACGATTATCTTAACCGGTCCCGGGCCTCCCCTAGGTCGACTCAGCCTCAAATGAGTACCTGGTGCGGTGTGTAAACATCGCCACTAGGGAGACAAAGGCGGTCGGGCGTGGTGCTGGCCACCCACCCCCTCGTGTACCGTTACCGGCCTTCATAGGTGCTCGCTAACAGCACTTGCCCCTACAGTCTGTTAAGGCTATATGGGGGATCTTTGTCTTTGTGTGCATGAACGAGTACCTGGTGCGTTATGTAAGCATCGCCACTCGGGAGACAAAGGCGGCCGGGCGTAGTGCTGGCCACCCAACTCCTCGTGTATTGTGCCGGCCTTCAAAGGTTCTCGCTAACAACAGCACTTGCCCCAAACGTCTACTAAGGCTATACGGGGGATCTTTGTCTTTGTGTGGTTAGCGCGCTATAACGCCATAAACCCGATGACCCGAGTTCGGTTTCACGGCCGACACCAGCGACGAACATCCGAACAACGGGTCCTGTGTCTCCCCTAGGTCGACTCAGCCTCAACTGAGTACCTGGTGCGGTTCTGTAGTAAACATCGAGAGTGGGGAGACACCGGCGCCCCGGGGATGGGGTGGTGATGGTCACACCACGTGCGCGATAATGTGTGAGCACGTGTTAGAAGAATGTGTGTGTGTGCGCGCATGCGAATTGCACCCCCCCCCCCCCATGCGTACCGTGCCGGCCTTAATAGGTGCTCGCTAACAGCACTTGCTCCAACAGTCTATTACAGGCTATACGGGGGATCTTTGTCTTTGTTATTTTTTACGTGTGAAAAATAACGTGTCAATGTGGGTGTGTGTACAGCGATTACCTTGTGGTTGACACACCTTCAGCCGCATGAGTTCGACTCCCAGCCACGGCTTACATCAGTGGCGAGTGATATCTGGTTGACACACCTTCAGCCGCATGAGTTCGACTCCCAGCCACGGCTTACATCAGTGGCGAGTGATATCTGGTTGACACACCTTCAGCCGCATGAGTTCGACTCCCAGCCACGGCTTACATCAGTGGCGAGTGATATCTGGTTGACACACCTTCAGCCGCATGAGTTCGACTCCCAGCCACGGCTTACATCAGTGGCGAGTGATATCTGGTTGACACACCTTCAGCCGCATGAGTTCGACTCCCAGCCACGGCTTACATCAGTGGCGAGTGATATCTGGTTGACACACCTTCAGCCGCATGAGTTCGACTCCCAGCCACGGCTTACATCAGTGGCGAGTGATATCTGGTTGACACACCTTCAGCCGCATGAGTTCGACTCCCAGCCACGGCTTACATCAGTGGCGAGTGATATCTGGTTGACACACCTTCAGCCGCATGAGTTCGACTCCCAGCCACGGCTTACATCAGTGGCGAGTGATATGTGAATCTGTTCTTGCACTTCCCCTATGTTGAATCAGCCTTGAATGAGTACCTGGTGCGGTGTATATGCATAAGCAATGGAGAGACAAAGGCGGCCGGTCGTGGTGCTAAAAACACCCCTCACACGTGCGCCTCCTCTGCCTTAATAGATGCTCGCAAACAGCACATGGCCCAAAAGTCTGTTGAGGCTATACGGGGTTCTTTGTCTTTGTACCCCTGTGTGTGCACATCTGCGTGTTTGTTTGTGCATCTGCCAGTCATCTGTCAGCTAACCCACGGCACCAGCGTCTGTTTCTCCTGCCAGCCAGCCACCCTTAATTCACGTCACCGCAAAGTGCACCTAGCCTGGCACAAGCGCCGTGGTCACGTCAGTGGCGGCTGTTGTTATGTGTGCCTTGATGTGTGTGATGGGGAGCGGTAGTGCGGCGGTTAGCGCTACGCTGCGCTATGAATCCGGCGAACCCGAGTTCGATTCCCGCTCACGGCCAACACCAAGTGACGATTATCTGAACTGGTTACGGGGCCCTCCCCTCCGAGGATCGACTCGGCCTCAAGTGAGTAACCCGGTGCGGTGTGTAGTAAACATCGCCACTGGGGAGATAAAGGCGGTCGGGCGTGGTGCTGGTCACCCACCCCCCATGCGTGCCGTGCCGGCCTTCATAGGTGCTGCCCCAACAGTCTGTCGTAGGCTACACGGGGGTTGTGTATTTGCTAAGCGCGGGAGGGGAGTGGATCTCCCCCTGTGTGTTTTAGCCAAATGCGCAAAATCCTCCCTCCGTCGACTCCCGCCCGCCTTGGCGGGCGGGAGTCTCTTGGCGGGCGGGAGTCTCGGTGTGGCTCGTCGCAGGGAGTGCATGGGAGGGGGGGGGTGGAGGCTGGGTGGGTGTGGGGTGGGTGGGAAGGTGCTGTGGTGCTTTGGGAGTTTGCTGTTGACCCGGGCGCGCGTGAACCCGTGCGCGTGAACCCGTGCGCGTGACCACGTGCACGTGACCACAAGCAAAGAAGCAAAAGACAAAGGCCCCCCCCCCCCCACGCAGTGTAGCCCTTCAAACACACTGCTGGGGGCAAGTGCCGGAAAAGCGAGGACCACGCCCGGCCGCCTTTGTCTTCCCAGACAAACGTCACCGACACACACACATACCACGCATATCCGTACACGCACGCGGCACACACGACACACACACGCGTGCACAGACACGTGGAATCGTGTTCAGTACTGTACACTCACGCGCGCTTAACCTCTGGACTCTCAACCACCCGGTCACTCACCATACTCTCACTCACTCTCACTCCCCACACTCTCACTCCCCACACTCCCCACACTCTCACTCCCCACACTCTCACACACTTTCACTCCCCACACTCCCCACACTCTCACTCCCCACACTCTCACTCCCCACACTCTCACTCCCCACACTCCCCACACTCTCACTCCCCACACTCCCCACACTCTCACTCCCCACACTCTCACTACCCACACTCTCACTCCCCACACTCCCCACACTCTCACTCCCCACACTCCCCACACTCTCACTCCCCACACTCCCCACACTCCCCACACTCTCACTCCCCACACTCCCCACACTCTCACTCCCCACACTCCCCACACTCCCCACACTCTCACTCCCCACACTCCCCACACTCTCACTCCCCACACTCTCACTCCCCACACTCCCCACACTCTCACTCCCCACACTTTCACTCCCCACACTCCCCACACTCCCCACACTCCCCACACTCTCACTCCCCACACTCCCCACACTTCCCACACTCCCCACACTCCCCACACTCTCACTCTCCACACTCCCCACACTCTCACTCCCCACACTCCCCACACTCCCCACACTCCCCACACTCTCACTCCCCACACTCCCCACACTCTCACTCCCCACACTCCCCACACTCCCCACACTCTCACTCCCCACACTCCCCACACTCCCCACACTCTCACTCCCCACACTCCCCACACTCCCCACACTCTCACTCCCCACACTCCCCACACTCCCCACACTCTCACTCCCCACACTCCCCACACTCTCACTCCCCACACTCCCCACACTCTCACTCTCCACACTCCCCACACTCTCACTCCCCACACTCCCCACACTCCCCACACTCTCACTCCCCACACTCCCCACACTCCCCGCACTCTCACTCCCCACACTCTCACTCCCCACACTCCCCACACTCCCCACACTCTCACTCCCCACACTCCCCACACTCTCACTCCCCACACTCCCCACACTCTCACTCCCCACACTCCCCACACTCCCCACACTCTCACTCCCCACACTCCCCACACTCTCACTCCCCACACTCCCCGCACTCTCACTCCCCACACTCTCACTCCCCACACTCCCCACACTCCCCACACTCTCACTCCCCACACTCCCCACACTCTCACTCCCCACACTCCCCACACTCTCACTCCCCACACTCCCCACACTCCCCACACTCTCACTCCCCACACTCCCCACACTCTCACTCCCCACACTCCCCACACTCCCCACACTCCCCACACTCCCCACACTCTCACTCCGGCGTCTCGCCGCCGCATGCCGACGCGTCGAGACTGCCAAAGGCTTCGGGCTCCATGGAGCGCAAAGTGTGGCGGCGTGCGCAGCAGGGCGGTGAGACAAAGCCAAAGGTCCCCCGCGTAGCCTTCCACAGACGGTTGGGGCAAGTGCCGTTGGCACAGCACCTATGAAGGCCGGCACGGGTGGCCAGAACCACGCCCGGCCGTCTTTGTCTCCCCGACGCTGCAATTTACACACCGCGACACGTACGCGTTTAAGGCTGAGTCAACCTAGGGGAGCCCCAGGACCGGTTGAGGTAATGGTCACTGGTGTTAGGGGTCGTCCATAAATGACGTCACGCACCTAGGGGGGGAGGGGGGGGTCAGATATTTGTGACGATGTGTGACGAGGGGGGGGGGGGGGTTGAGAAATGTGACGTCACATAAAAATTCGCAACTTTAAATAAATATAGAATTATTAAAACAACACTAATTGTTATAACAGCACTCCTACAACATCAGAGTGCAGCGCCACATTAAATACGCACTACAATGACAATCGTTTAAAGCGATTCGAAGCATGTTTTATTTTCAAAATGGAAATATGGTTTTGGGGGGGGGGGCAGAGCTTTGTGACGTCATATTTGAGGGGGGGGGCTCTGACTTTTTGTGACGCCGTGTGACGAGGGGGGGTCAATAATCGTGCAAAATCGCGTGACGTCATTTATGGACGGCCCCTTAGCCGTAAGCGGGAAGCCAACTTGGGTCGCCGGGTTTCATAGGGCAGCTCACTAACCGCTACACTAACGCTCCCCAGACACACACAGACTAAGACAAAGATCCCCCGT